TAATCCTCCTTCTTCATTGGGTTTGCAAATAGTTTCCCAGGTCACCAAGTGGGTCTTTTGCTTCCCTTGATCCGCTCCCCAAACAAAAGCCCGGATCTTCTTATCAATTAAGTCGCAAATAGACACTGGAATTACTGCAGTCTGCATTGTGTAGTTGGGAAGGGCATTGAGAACCGACATGGCCAGGGTGACTCTTCCCGCGAGCGATAGATTTCGTGCCTGATATGCAAAGATCCTCTTGTCAATATTTTCTAGGATGTACTTGTAGGTATCTTTTGTAATTCTGCAGTGTATTACTGGAACTCCAAGATAGCGTCTCAGACTGCTAGTAGCTTTCATGCCCAGCATGTCACTAATTCTCTTTCTAACCGAGTCCTTAGTGTTCTTAGAGAAGTAGATACAAGACTTCTCCTTACTGACTTGCTCCCCCGAGGCTGAACAGAACATATCTAAGCACTTTGAGATGGCTGCACCCTGCTTTAGATCAGCTTCAGCAAATAACACCAAGTCATCTGCAAAAAATAGATGAGTTAGTGGCTGCCCTCCCTGCCCAAGAGAGATGGGTTTCCAATCTCCGGCCTGAATAGCATCCTGAATACAGTGATTTAATCGTTCAATGCAAAGGGTAAATAGGTAGGGAGAAAGTGGACATCCCTGTCTTAAGCCCCTTGAAGGTTTGAAACTATCTGTTAGGCCTCCATTCCATAGGATTTGTAAACTTGTCGTAGTGACGCAAGTCATAACAAGATCTATGAACTCTTTAGGGAGGCCAGCAGTGCCAAGAGTTTGCTTGAGAAAAGACCAGTTGACGCGATCATATGCTTTCGCCAAGTCTATCTTCAGGGCCATGAGACCTTTCGCCCCTGATTTGAGAGACATAGTATGGATCGTCTCCTGGAGGATGATGATGTTGTCGGTTATATGACGTTTGGGCACGAAACTAGTTTGAATAGGATCCACCAGGTCGGGCATGAGTTGCTGGAGGCGGTTTGCGAGGCACTTTGCCACCACCTTGTAGGTAATGTTGCAGAGCCCTATAGGCCGAAATTTAGCAATCGACTTCGGCACCTCCACTTTCGGTAGAAGAGTGATGAGCGTCTCATTGCAGAGTTCAATCCGCGGAGGCGACCTGAAACAAGAAACCACATGATCATGTAAGTCAGAGCCAACTGTCCCCCAACATTGTTTATAGAAAATGGCTTGAAAGCCATCCTTCCAGGGAGCCTTCAGTCCCCCCATATCCATAATGATTCTCCTGGTTTCATCTACAGTAGGAATTGTAGTCAATCTCGTGGTGGCTGCTGCGTCCATGGTTTTGAAGTGGGCTGGGATTTCCAAATATGAGACTTCCTCCTCCATGAATAGCTTACAGTAGAAATCTCTGGCCATGTTTTTTAAGATCTCTGTGTTCTCAACCCAGTTGTCGTCGGCAGCCTGAAGCCTTATGATCTTGTTTCTGTGCCTACGTTTGAGGGTAGCATTGTGGAAGAAAGGCGTATTCCGATCTCCATAGATGATCCAGTTAGTTCTGGAATTCTGCATCCATAACAGCTCCTCCTCCCATAAGGTTCGCTCCAATTCTTCCCTAATGACAGCTTCCTGCCGTAGGGTGTTCTCTGACGGCGCCTTATCATTTCTCCATTCAAGCTCGATCAACTTCTTCGTGAGCCCTTTCTTCCGGGTGAAAACATTCCCAAAAACTTCCTTATTCCAAACGCGAAGGGTGTCCTGCAGGTTCTGCACAGATTGTAGACAGTCTCTTCCTCGCGTCCAACAATTGTCAAGAGTGCGATGAAAGTCCTCATGAGTCAACCAGGGGGCGAGAAAGCGGAAAGGTCTCTCCTGGAAGGGGTTTGTCATCCCATAGGAGCTGGAGACGAGGATCGGACGGTGGTCCGAACGGAGCTTGGGGAGATGCTTGTTGTGAGTGTCCGGATATTGTCTTAGCCACTCCTGGTTGCACAGCGCACGATCAAGACGTTGAGAGAGTCTTCCATTCGACCAAGTAAATTTTGGTCATGTAAAACCAACATCGATTAGGCCACAGTCTGAAATACAATCTTTAAAATCGGAGACTCGGTTAGGATTGAATTTGGCTCCTCCTTGACGCTCCGATGGGCAAGTGACAGAGTTGAAGTCTCCTATAAGAATCCACGGATCCTTGATTTGGCCTTCTAACCGGCGAAGTGAGTTCCATAGCGGCCTCCGATCATAGTTGTTGGGTTTAGCATACACCGCCGTAAGCAGCACCGGTTGCTGGTCCTTACCTGTACACCGAAAATGCAGATACTGGGGATTACTGTCCAGCACCGAAATTTCAAAATCAACTGAGTTCCACAGAACCCAGATTCCACCAGAAAAACCGATGGCATCTACAATTTCATTGCGCTCAAACCCCAAGGTGGCAATAACATCCAACGCATCCTTACCACTAATCCGTGGTTCAACGATGAAAACCAAGTTGGGTCTGTGGATTCGCATATAATCTTTAAACGTAGGAAGGAAATTGGGGTGTTTCGCACCACGACAGTTCCAACTAAAAACTTTAATCATTGATAAAGCAAAACAAGGGTATGAGAAACTTCCATGACAAGTGATGGATTGCCCAAATCGTCTTAGCGTTTGGCGTCCACCTCCATACTTCTTTCCTTCTCAATTGCGGCCGCCGCGGTGGCCTCAATCTTCTCCAATTTTCGTTGCTCCGCCGTTCTTTTGGAATGAATTTGACACGGGGCAGGATCGCCGTCAGCTGCTCTCCCATCAGGGTAGTTTGCCGGCTGGCCGTTGGGGTCTGGTCCTTTCCTCTCCGCCGGGGCTTTGGTAGATTGAGCCTTGTCGACGACAGGTTGAAACTGGCTGCTCGAACCGTCCTGACTCTTCCCTTGGGTGAGCTGGGATTTGGATGCTTGACTTATCTGGGCCTTGCTTTGGGGAGTGGGGGCAGATGGCTTGGCTGGGATATTGCGGATTGGGCCATCTTTCTCTGGGCTTCGGTCCAACCCTTTTGGGGATGGCTCAGGGCGAGGTTGGCTTTTGCCTGGCGTTTGGAATTTCTGCCCGTTAGTGCCCTCCCAAGTTTTAGCCGCCCTCTTCTTTTTAGTCTCAGCCTTCTCCTTCCTCCCACCTTCCTTATCTATTTTCTAACTCTTCTTTCCTTTCTCTGTTGTACCTTCCTTAATTGCAATTTTCTCAGAGCTGATGTTACATCCCCCCTCCGCAACATTCTCCTTCCCCTTTTGAATGCTCTGGTTACCATTTTCAGACTCTTTGTCTTGAATTTCCGCCGTAATTTCCGCCTCGTCAGTTACCAGGGCGTCGAACCTCGAACCAGTCGACCGTTGGGGTGTCGACGGCGAGTTCGTCGGATGATTGTTGCAGTTCTCCTCCTGCCTCTGCTCCTTTGGCTTTTGTGTTTGTCTTTGGCGCCTATTCCTTGTTGCGATCATCCATGGGCCGTAATCCTCCAGGACCTCTGCCCCGATCTCTGCATCGCCTTTGAAGTTGAACATTGGATTGGACTTGGAGGTGAATTCCTCCGGTATTTTGCCATCCTCAAACATTGTCGCACACGTTTCCTGGTTATGCTCATATCGTTCGCAGGCAAAACAGACCAGATGCAAACCTTCATATTCAATACGACGAACTCTTCTCTTTAAACGATATTTTGATACAAGACGTTTGTTGAGGTCGATATCCACACATAGCCGAGCATAATTACCTCTTGTGCAGTGCAAAGTGTTGTAATCGATTTTTACGACCTTCCCTATTCGACTTCCGATATCGTTTAGAATCTCTGTATCAAAGTATCCCATCGGTAGCCAAGGAAGCCGGATCCAAACTTTGGCATGATCAATAACGTCATAATCTGGATCGAAATCAAGCCGCCACTCAGTAGTGAGAACGTAATGATCTCCCAGTAACCATGGTCCTCCAAACAAAGTTCTGTCGTAGTCCTGTTGGGAGATGAAGCGGAAGGTGAAGAAACCGTTCCCAAAGTCTGCTACTCCCACGTTACCTATCTTGGCCCATAGATGTTGAATTTTCTTTTCCAAGATCGAGAAAGGATATTGCCTGCCGAGAATTTTACAGATCAGAGCCTGGGTCCCGAATCCTATTGACCGTCGCCTTGCGAACGCGGATCGTGGGACAGTCTGGGTCGTCGTCACCGTCCTCTTTGTCAGATTCGTCTGACATCAGGTCATTCCCATTATTTTCCACAGTACCTGGCCGCCGTCCCGATACCAGATCGCTGTAGGTTAACTTTGCCACCACCGAGGGGTTTGCCGACTCTCTTTCGCCATTTGCCAACAGAGCCGCCGGACAGGTTAGGGATGGCTCAAGAATCATTGACCCCTGACCGGAGAAACCTTCATCCTCAAGCGGTTTTTGCTTCTTACTTTGTTGAATCGGTGATGTTTCCGGCGAGGGATCTGGGGGTTCCTCCTGCTGATTTGTTTGCAGCTTCATGATATCGTCGGCGGTAGCCATGACCGCTTTCAGAGAGAATTTTCAGAGAATTTTCAAAATAGGGTTTCCTTCACTCCAGACCCGTTTATGCTAACCAGGGATTCAACACAAGTAAAAACCGAGTCTGCCTCAATAATATCGTATGATAATCAATGTGTTTAATGTGTGTACTTTTTACTTTTTAGTGGGACGAAATGCAAGTTGTTAGACCAATTGATGACCACCCTGATATTAGCTGTCTCCCAGCTCACGTGCTAGCTAGTCATATGTTGTATCTTTTTTGTCGGGTTTTGGGATCAATAATAACTGAGTCGGTTCGTTTCATTGGGAAATCAACTTGTCAAGTGGAAATATATTAATTAAAACCCACAAAATACGTATTAATTAATGTTTATCAGTAAAAGCTACTCAACCGCACGAGAAATTAGGACACTCTAAACAAGTTTAAGCCCGTCAATTAAGGAACTCAATAAATTTGAATCATTTTCGTAATTTCTAGAAAGCTCAGAAGATCGAAGATTCCCTCCACTCCCGCCAGCGGATAAGAACACGCCATTTACCAGGCAGGGTAAAAATGTAAATAAACCTGCAGCCACCAAATTGGACCAGACAACGGAGAAAGTTTTAAAAGACGAAGATATAAAGCTTTGGGTTTTTTAGACGGATGGAAGGAAAAGACAGGGCAGCGTAGACTCAGGGCAACCGTCCGTAGACAGCAAAGGTACTGTTTTCTCCGAATCCGAAATTCGGAAATCTCTGCCTCTCAATCTTCATTATGATTTCCTTTTCCTTCCCGACAAAATCTTCAAATTTCCATGTTGATATTTGATTTTGATCCAGTCTTTCCTTGATCTGCTGTTTCCCCCTTCTCCCTCTGTTTGGTTCCCAAGAAAAGTTCTTGAAAGGAGAAGGAGGGGAAGATTTTTGTAGACTAGACAAGGTTGGTCGATTTTCAGCCGGGGTTTCTTTTCCTCTCCCCCTTTGTTCTAATTCAGTATACCCTTTCTAAGGTTTTTATTTTGCTGTCAATTGGTGGATATTGATTCCGTTGACCTGTGATATTTAGCTGCAGTTTGTTTAGTTGGGACTTTTTGGGATGTGGTTTGTTGATTGGTAGGTGGGTTTTGGGGTAGGAGGAAGGGAAGGCGAAAGTTTGGATTTTTTTTTTGGTTCTGAAGTAGTTGGAACTTGGAAGGAAGGTGGGGGAAAACTCATATGGGGAATTAGAGAGTACTTTTCTGCTAACTAGCTCCATTTTGATTATTGGAGCTATCTGGTTTGTATGTGAATGATTCAAGAAATTGGGTGGTTATGGTTTGATTGTTTTCTGTCTTTCTGTGTTCTAATTAGCTTGGAAACCTGTGTCAAATGGTGTTAGTTTTGCTTAAGGATTTGTAAAGTAAGGCTCCTTTTTAGCTATCAGGATGCTGCATTATTGGCTTCCAGTGTTTTTGGCATAATTAGAAACCTTGAGCAACTTCTTGGAACTGATGGAATTTGTGTTTGTTACCCTAATGTTGGCGTAATTGGAAATCTTGAGAAACTACTTGGAATTGATCAATATGCGAATAATTTGACCCTTTGTTATAACCTTAAGCTGTACCATATGCGAATTTAGCTAGTGAATGGTGTTCCTTCTTGGGTTGTGGTCTGAAACATGTCTATGCTTCATCTCATTTTTGGCGAGTTGTGTTCATCTTCCCCTGCTGTTCACTGCCTAATTTAGGTTTTGATTTGTGAAAAATGACGCAGGAAAGGACTCGAGATTATATGGATACAGAGGTACCGTGCAAAGAGGTGTCTGAGGAGGTGGCGCGAGAGTCTCTCATCGCCATATCGTATTCTGTGCCAGACAAAGATCTGGACAACTCTTATGCTGACACCGATTCCGAAGCTCTGAGCAGCAGCAACAAAGATGGAGTGGCAGCAGATATGAGCAATGGTGGAGGGGTTGATAAGTACATGTCTGAACTGATCTCTATTTCTGACTACCAGTCACCGGATTCTCCTGCAACTTCTCCCAGAAGGAGAGCATAAGGATGGTTGAGAGGCAAGGACTAACTATTAGTGTGGTGTAAAACTGTGTTGTTTCTGTTTTTTTTTCTTCTTTTGTCTTGTGTCTGTGAAATGGTTGTAGCTGTACAGCCACTGGTTATGATATGCGATCATCAATGGCATTGAGAAAGTGGACTATTGTTATTGGTCATTGCCATGGAAATGTTGGGAGGCATTGTTGTGAATTGTGGATGGGGTTATATACAAGATCTAGCTTGTATCTGTGTTTAGGAATGTTGGCGGAATTAGAATGGATGCTTTCTTCTTCCAGCAATTGGATTTGGAAGGGATGGTCTCGGTTGGTTGGGCATCAGTTGCTGCTGAATATGGCCTTCTGTGCTTATCGAATGTTCTGTAGGAAACTAATGGTGGTTCGTACAGATGGAATCGAACGCAGCAACATGAAGACTAATGAACGATGGCCTAGTCTCTGCTTGTTGTTTTCTGTACACAAACCAACATTTGCTGCTTCTATTCTGTATATAAGTTTTTCGCTGCTTGTCTTCTGTACATAGATATATTTTTGCTGTGCCTTCTACTGCTCTTTCCCATTCTCATCTCTTTTAAAGAAACATCGATACCACTGCAATTGAGCTGGGTGAATGCATATTTTTAGCAAGTTCCTGAGAGCTGGGATGTGAGCCCTACAAAAAGTCAAGCCCATCAGTTATCTCAGCTCTCCCCATTGAGTGCCAAAGGAGAAGGAAGATTGAAGCAACAGAGAAACAGGAACTTTGACAGTAGAAATGCTTCACGAATTTAGCACTTTATAGTACTTGTCCAAAATGGATAGAACCATCCATGTCTTAGCTATTGTTTGATCTCTTAGTGAGCTGTTTTTTCATATGAACATAGGAATGCAGTCAAGTATGAAGTGAATGGTTTGTATTTGTTCATCCCGAGTTGATTGACATGACATGGTTTAGGGCTTTAGGCAAGTGGCAGGTAAATGGAAGCCGGGAGCAGCCAAATTAATCTCTGCCCCCCATCCTTGCAAGTCTATTCAATTGCAACTTCTCAAGTACGACCTCTCGACGTCTTAACTTCGAACCTCCCCCCGCTCGCCCCTCTGAATGGCTGCTGTTTGAAAAGCTCAGGGAGGTGCTGGACCTGTCTATACATATGCATTTTGCCACTGCCAGTATGGTGGAGTGTACGGTCCTGTTGAGGGCAGCTCCAACGTTGCGCGAGCTATCGATATCGTTCGTACATTCGATTGGCTACCTAAGTTGGGAGGATAGTGCAGAGGAGGAGTTGGCACCGGCATGGAAGCATCAGTCTCTCCAGGTGCTCCGGCTACATGGGGTGCATCCAAAGCGTGTACGAGCGATGTGTTGATCCTCGCAAACCCCAAATGGAGCTCGCTGCCCACATCATTATGGCCTCGCCTTCGTTGAAGGAGGTCCTTATTGATACGAGAAATTTAAGATTCAGCGCTTTCGAGAAACCATATCAGTCATCAGATTGATGCTACTGATCAAGTCTCTGAAGCTAGGATGGAGTTGGAAACAAGACTCCATTCTTACAGTACTGCTGCTCCAGAATTCACTTTACTTATCGATAAAGACTAAAAGCTCGTTACTAATATCAATATGAAGGGGGAGTAGAATTTTATCTAAAATGTCTTATTGCTCCAAAAAAAGAAAATTATTTTCTGTTATTACTGGACTATACATATATCAATGTGGAGGAGAAGAATTTCACTACACAGTAATCTCCCCCTTAGCAGTTAGCAACTTAGCATTCATAACCAATTGTGAATTTGTTATACCACTTCAATTGCAATTGAAGGTTAAGCACATGATACCACTTCACTTGGCAGGCCAGAAGCCCAGAAAGGTTACATCTTTCTTTGGGCCTGTCTCAGCCCATGACGTCCAAATTCACTTACCCAAATCATATGCACTATGGCTTCCACCATATCCAAGCCTGAGCCCATTGCCTTGGGCCTTCAATAACGAACATCAGACTTCACTTGGCGATCCACAAGAAAAAAAAAAAAAAAAAAACGAGGGCGTGATGATGTCATAATCTACAGTGGAGGTTAGAAGTTGGAAAAGGGGCCTTAAAAAAAGGATATTCCATCCATTCTCCACCCCATTCCATTTTCTACACCCCATACCTCTAATCCTCAGCAAAACCATCCTCCTTATGCCACGTGGCGCACCACAATATCCAAAACTCAACCATTTAAAAGGGGGGAAAAGATAAAAGAAAATGAAATGGGTCAGCTCTCAGCCATGGTCACCATCTTTTCGTCTTTATAGTAGTAGTACGTATAGTTATTATAGTGTATCAAAATTCACGACTGATCAATGTCGTCACCCTCATCATCTTCTCGTCTTTCGCATAACCCACAATTCGATCGCTTACCTCTCTTTTCCCGGCCCTTCCTCCTTTGTGAATTGTGATAGTCCATGCTGAACATAAGGCTTTACATAACCGGAGTTGATAAAGCCTTTATAAGGAATCAAGCTTGAGATATCAATTTTGTGACGCATGGCTCTTCAAATCCTGATATATATATATAATCTCAACGCACATGCCTACCCACCAATCCATGGATTCGGGTGCCTCGAGCTCATGATACTAAATGACGTATCGTCTGCTTATAATGTTAGGTTGTGTGAATTCAAACCCTAAAACACCTTGTGCTAATAATCACCATACATATACTTGAGATTCACATTAATGGTTAGTCGTTAATCGATATTGAGGTTGTGGAGAATATTTTTTAATTTGATACACTCAAATAAAAAAAAAAATTATATATTAACAGGAGCCATCAAATTCATGAAAATCAATGAATTGTTAGGAGATACCATTAGAAATGAACTAACATGCAAATGCAAATGTGTGATCTAATACTACAATACCATATTAAGTTCATCAACCAATTAACCCCACTCCAAACTCAAGTACTACAAGCCACCCAAAAACCAAACAATGCAATCCTCAATATCACCTCCAACTTTGTCCAAAACCGATTCCAGTCATAGAAACCCATAACACAACAAGACAAACCAACAACAAACAATCAACCCATCTCCTTCCATCCATTTCCCCAAACACTCTTCCCCTCACCACCATACAAACCTCCCCACTTTGACAAAAAATATCCAAAACAAAAACAAATAAAACTAAAAACTAAAAATCCACCAAACCAAAAAGTGTCCACACAAAGACTATCAAAACTCAGCTCAACTCACCAAAAACCACTCAGTGAGTGAGCTTAGCTTAGCCCAAAAAAATACCCCAAAAATGGCGATTTGCACACCACTCAACTCCTCAACTTACTCCTCCATCATCCCCCAGCAGAACCACCACGACGCCGCCGTCTCCTTCGCCAGAAGAGCCTGCTGGAGAGCCACCAGCAGCCACCGCCCCCGCCGCGGCTTCACCGTGATAACATGCGCCTCCTCCGACGCAGGGACCGTGGTGATCGGGCTGGCGGCGGACTCCGGGTGCGGGAAGAGCACGTTCATGCGGCGGCTGACCAGCGTGTTCGGCGGCGCCGCCGAGCCGCCCAAGGGCGGGAACCCGGACTCCAACACCCTGATCAGCGACACCACCACCGTCATCTGCCTCGACGACTACCACTCCCTCGACCGGACGGGGAGGAAGGAGAAGGGCGTCACGGCGCTGGACCCCAAAGCCAATGACTTTGACCTGATGTACGACCAGGTCAAGGCGTTGAAATCCGGCGTCGCGGTGGAGAAGCCCATTTACAACCACGTCACCGGTTTGCTTGACCCGGCCGAGGTTATCAAGCCGCCCAAGATCCTCGTCATCGAAGGCCTCCACCCAATGTAAGTAAATACCGATTGAAATATATATGGGTTTCCTTAATTTTTATTTGTGTTTTTGTTTTGCATGCGGCTAGTTTATGCTTTGCTTTTGCTTAGCTTAGGTTGCATCGAAAGTGTTTCAATTTTGACATAAAGGTGGCTGAGATTGTGAGGTGGGAGAGTGTTCATAAAAATCTGATCATGATAAGATAAGGAGACCATCAATGGAGTTGGGGGGAGGCGGCCCGGCCCCGGAGTTTTCCTCCCAATGTGAGGCTGAGAAACTTTAAGAGACTAATTAAGAAAGGTTGTCAAGTCAGCATTACTAACAAAAATTTTAACGGGAGTTAGCGTATAGCTAATACTCGGTATTTCGAAAGGTTTGGTTAGTAATTTGAAATGTTTGACTCATAAATTGTATTTAAACAAAATTAATTATGGATTTTATACTATTCTCTTTTTAAAAATAATTATCTTTCTTCTTTCTCTTCTTCTATTTTTTTTTATCATTTATAGAGTCATTTGAATGGATTAATTGTTATTATGATATTTGTAGAGTGAACTAACTCATTAACTGTGCAGTGATAATTTAGTATTCGGTATTTAAAATATCTCATTTGGCTGAACCATTCACATATTGTATTTTACATGTGATACGAATTACTTTCAAATAATGTCGTTGGTTATAGGGAGGTAATGCTTAACTAATTAAGCTGACCTCATGTAGTCACTAGATTTGGGTTGGTGGCGGGTGGGTCATTAACCGCAAAATCACATGATATATTAAGTCATTCATGCACATTCTATAATAAAAATACATTTTTTTATCTAAAAAATTTACAGTGATTGATTCAATTAAACTATAATGATCTTTTTTATAGATTTTACTTTATTTATAACATAAAATCATTTATTTTAAAATACGATAACTATTAATAAAATATTTTGTTTTCATAAAAAAGATAATTGGTTTTAGATTATGCAATAAACTACGTTTAATAGCTATAACTTTTATTGATTTGTAACATTGATATTCAATTAGTTTTATGCAAACTTTTACGGCTCATAAAACCTGATTCTTTAAAAATAATTTGACCCACCAAAACCGTGAAACCCACTACGATACACATGGGTGAGTGTGGGTCAATTTTTCAGCACCCACCGGCCACCGTAACAATGGGTGGGTGGATTTTGCTCAAAACTCACCCAACCCACCCATTGCCCATCCCTAATCATTGGGCTTTACTATACGAACGAGTATGGGAATGAGATAATCATAATCATAATCTTCTTGGATTCTGTTACACAGTTTTCTCCTTAAATACCAGCACGTTCGTTTTTTGACTTGTTGGAATTCAGTTGCATATTGAATACTTGATAAGATCGCAAACATGGGCATCCCTGTAACATGATAAGAGTGGAAATTTAATATTATGATTTATGGGGCTGCAGGTTCGATGAGCGCGTGAGGAAGCTGCTGGACTTCAGCATCTACTTGGACATCAGCAATGAAGTCAAATTTGCATGGAAAATTCAAGTAAACGAACTAGATTCCTCTACTAAACATGCTCTCTGTTCATCCCTAATCCACCAACTGACTCGATTTGTATGGTGCAGAGGGACATGGCTGAAAGAGGGCACAGCCTGGAGAGCATCAAGGCGAGCATTGAAGCCCGAAAGCCCGATTTCGACGCCTACATTGGTATTACATATCACTGAAATTTTTCCAACTTTGCTCTATTTGAGAACACACTAATGGAGAACTTACAAGCATGTATGTCTGTGTAACGTAGATCCACAGAAGCAGTACGCTGACGCGGTGATCGAGGTGCTTCCCACGACACTGATCCCCGACGACAATGAGGGCAAGGTTTTGAGGGTGAGGTTGATCATGAAGGAAGGCGTCAAGTTCTTCAACCCGGTCTACTTGTTCGATGAAGGCTCCACCATCTCATGGATCCCTTGTGGGAGGAAGCTTACTTGCTCCTACCCTGGCATCAAGTTCACGTACGGCCCCGACACCTACTTCGGTCAAGAGGTACTACTCATCTTCCCTTCATCTCGCCGGATGACCTGACACTTCGATATGTTTTGGAGAGGTTCGATCTTTTGCTTAGCACGCAATCCATGTTCTTGACTACATGGTGGATCGCTTTCTCAGGTGTCCGTGCTGGAGATGGACGGGCAGTTCGACAGACTGGACGAGCTGATCTATGTAGAGAGTCACTTGAGCAACCTCTCTACCAAGTTCTACGGTGAAGTCACTCAACAGATGTTGAAGCATGCTGATTTCCCAGGCAGCAACAATGGCACGGGTCTCTTCCAGACCATCGTCGGCTTGAAAATCAGAGACCTCTTCGAGCAACTTGTCGCATCCAAGGCCAAATCTCCGGTAGAGGCCAAAGCTTGAGTTCCCCCAAAGGAACCAAACTCCTTTCCCCCACATAAAATTCTTATTCCTCTGTTCTTCTATTCTGACTCTCAGTTACAGCCTTTTGTTCTGAGCTTCAATCGCGTAAAATGAGCTGTAATATGTATAAAACAAACCCAGAAAGCAAAAAAAGAGGCAGAAGACAATAATTCAGTTATCAGAATCGTGTACCATCGCATTGTCGTAGCGTCACAGAAAGCATAGATGAACGATGAAAGTTGATGGTGATGTCAACACTGTTACTAGCTTTTCCTCAGCAGTTTACTCGCTTATATCGACCTTCAATACATCTCCTTCCTTCTGAATCAAGTTATCTTAGGCCCTATCTTACTTGTACAATAGAATGCTGCTGACAGAACTCAAACAAACTGCAGATAAAACCTAAAACAGATCCCATTCTGGCAACAAGAATTTAAGGCACGCCATGAACAACTTTGCCCTAGTGCCAAACAAATCCATGGGAGAGACACATAACAGGTGAGCCAATTGACTTGTTCTAGGATACATTTACTATTTAGCCAACATCTACTATACAACACAAAACACCAAAGAAAATTACAAGGGACTAGTTAAAACAAGACAATAAGGTGAGCTCCGGCTATCTGGTTCCAGTAGCGCTATGTACTACGATATGCACCATTCCCAGATGTCTGACAGCAGCACACTATAGGTCTATTTGATTGTAACAAACTTGTTAGTGCCGTGTCTAGCCCAATGATCCTTCAAATCCACCGGACAAAACAGATCACAGCCTTCGGCTGCCAGTTTGTGCAGGAGCTTCGTGTAAGCCCCGTTGCTCATTTTCCTCCCAGCGACACGAGCACCAGGCCTCGTGGAACTCATAGGCAGAGGATATTCGGAAATGTTTATAGTACAACAAGAGGATTGCCACCCACCAGCGCCCCACTTGTAGCAAACTCTAGGGACACCAGTGCAAGAGCAAACTGGGGAAGGCACACCAGAGAAATCAAAGTCCGATTGATGGAAATCCACGTTCAGGTCCTTCTTCTCACGCTTGGCTTCAGGACAAGAGCTTGTCTTCTTCTTCATCTTCTTTGACTGCTTTGGTTTCAATGCCTTGGAATGAGCTTTGTTAGAAGTAGCTTTCCTAGCCTTTGAAGTTTTACTGTTCGAGCTCTCTTCCTTCACCGGCTGCTCGACTGGTGCTGGAATGGCACTTATAGGAGCAACAGACGAACCTGGTTCATGGCTGAGTTGGGTTCCATCCGACGAACCGGAGTTTGATTTCGGTGATGCAAAGAGCTCCTCAGGGTAAAACCAGGTCAGATGAGAAGGTGGTGATTCAGCAGCTGATTCAGGTATGAGTAGGCTTCTGTTAGAGTAAGAAGCCATCCCCGGATACTAATCGTTCGCTTCAAATCACTGCATTGACCAGATCAGATCACTTAGAATACATCTCATATCAAAATTAGCTCAATGGAGAGAGAGGATACAGGATTGCTGTAAGCTAGGTCTCCAAGTCAATCCTTTTATGCATTCATAATTACCGTACAAATGCCCATTAACACACTATTAACATAGCTCACCCTAGAGCTAATTGCTCGGCTTCTACACATCAATACCTAATGAAATGGCTTCAAATGCTTCATAAGGATTTCATTTGCGCAAGAAAATTGCCGATTTGGCTTAAACGAATACTTTAATTCATCTCAATCGGCTATGAAATGGCGATTGAAAAACCTGGCCTACGGCGGCGTAAGCATCGCCGGCGATTCATGAACCAAACGATCGAATGAAAAAAGGAACCGAAACCTTCATCACTAGTGAAATGGAGAAGGGAAGACGGGGGCTTACAGAGAGGGTTTCCCGATAAGATCTAGCAGAGAGCTGGCCGATCTTCTGTTACTGTTAAGAAACTTCAGTAGATCGATGAAGATGGAGAAGAGACAGCGAGGTAGGTTTCGAGCTTCCGCATAATTTTCCGCCGCAAATCGACTGCAATTTTCAGAGTTCAGACCATTGTTGATCGTTCGTCGCCGTCACGAGGAGTAATCAGTCTTCGCTAACTCGCTGCTGAGTCAGGCTTCCCGCACGCAGGAAGGGGAAATGTCAAATATTCCGTTCCTCGCACGAGTTTCGGCCCAAGAATTTAGGCCTCTGGGCCAAAGGCCCGTAAGGATCACGCGGAGGATTTAGCAGAAGCTGAGCTGGCAGGCAGTTAAAAATTAAAAATAAAAGGATAAACACATAAACAGAGCAGAGTGCCAGAGTGTGATTCCCAAATGCCGATGGCGCGAATTGGTTGAGCTCCGCCGTAAAAACCGGCGTGCTGCTCACAGTGCCACGAGAAATTTGGACGGATAATTTCATATAAGTCCCTTCTTCCAAGCTCCATCGTTACTTCAGCCCTCAAAATATCGTTTCTTGACGTTTCAGTCCATGTGACTGAATAGTATAGTGATCTGAAACTTTAAGGGGATGTTTGTTGAAGTTGCCTCGTCGAATTTTTCTCTCGATAACTTTGAGTGCTATTATTGGTTGTAGTGGACTCCAAATCACATAGATTAAGAATACTTGGGGACATAATTATGTAAAGGTATAATAATTAGAGTGAGATATGAATTTAGTAATGGTTTTTAAGAGATTTTTTTCTTGATACCTGATTCAATGATTCTAATCATACGTAACACCTATGTTACATGCCAAGTCACAATATATAACGAGATACATATCATATTAATGATCCTCTAATATGAATATGAAAAATTATTAAATTGCTAATATGATTTATTGAAATGAGCGTGAAAATATCATAGACAATTTAATCGTTTTATTGTTCAGTATGTAAAACAAGAATGTGATGCAAATGCAACAATATTGAGTTCTCGATGTGAATCTACAACCATTCATGATTTCAATTTGGTTCGATTTTTTTTATGTCTCCAAATTATGCAACTGAAAATCGTTCTAAAAATAAGAAATGATCATCTAAAGCAATGTGAAATCTCTAATAAATAGTATTTGACGTAGAACAATGACGCCTATGCGTGCTCATTTTTTACAAATTTTAGCGTAGCATTTTTATTTAAATGATCGGAGATTGTTATCGCCTTATCAGTGAGCACGAAACTTACTCAATCAAGTGTATTGGCTCAAACTAAATTACAAATCGCTACTTAGCCTACAATATCGAACATTATGCAAGGACATGCTGTATGACGACCCCTTACATTTTGGCTCAAATGATCACAACAAGTGCATTGCTCATAATTCGTATTATTGGTGACGGCAGAGACACCAGTATGTTCCATGACCCTTGGCAGTTTTTTAGCCATGGGCCGCTGCGGGATCAGACATCGACAGATAACTCAAAGGTGGCTCAGTGGATCGACCCCATCACACGGGAATGGAACTTTGACATCCTTAACGATTTCCTCAGCCCGGAGGAACTGAATAAGATCTCAGGCACACCGGTTGGACCTAGCACTATGAAGGATTACTGGGCATGGAGGTTTGAGGATCAGGGTTTCTTCACTGTCAAATCCGCATTTCATCATTTCCACCATTGTGAGAGAAGGTCCAGGGGTGAAGAGACCGAGGTGCCAGAGTCTAGCAGAGATCGATGGAAGTGGCTCTAGAGCCTCTCTTTACCACCGAAAATGAAATTCTTCATCTGGTGAGTCGCCAGAGGGGCATTAGCTACGAGGCAGAACCTTCATTCCCGGCGATGCTCCCCCTCTACTGCCTGCCCGGTTTGTGAGGATCCGATCGAGAACACTCATCATTGCTTTTTCTCCTGCCCCCATGCAGCCCAAGGTTGGTCCTCTCGTTGGCCGGACCTGAGTCTTCCGCCTCCTTTGTTGAATGTCCTTGACTGGCTGTTCTCTCTGTCCGTTTCATGGCCGCCGGACTTGATTCAGAATATCATTTATCAGCTTTGGCAGACTTGGAAGTCAAGAAACGAGAAGGTCTTTTTGGAAAAAGATCCTTGGTCAGTGACCACGCTTACGCGTGCAAAGGAGGAAGCTCACTTATGGAGAATGTGCCCTAAGAAGAGACAAGATTCTTTTCACCCTCAGCCTGCTCCACCCCCGGAAACCAATTTGCCACCGCCGAGTACTCAAGTTTTTGAAGTACACTGCGACGGATCGTACTTTCACGATTCACAGGAGGCGGCATATGGAGTCGTAGTTACGAACGTCCATGGCCAAGTGGTCGACGGGAGGGCTGAGATCTTACACTGCTTTTCACCTATTGAGGCCGAAGCTAGAGCTTTACTTGAAGGAACGAGGGTTGCTGCCGAGTTCCAAGGTTACTGTCGTGTGCGGTCGGACCGCATCTCTTTGATCCGAGCAATTCAGGGTCACCCTGGAAGTTGGCCGTGGAGGGCAGCTGCATGGATTGGCCGCATAGTGAAGATTGCCAACGATCATCCCCTCATCTGCTTCGAATGGTTCAAAAGAAATTGTAATTCCAGAGCCAATTGGGTTGCCAGGTCACGAGCAAAAGACCAGCTCCCCACAGATTGGATTCTCATTCTGGATGTTATTTCTCCTCTTTTGTAATTGTTGGCCGTTGGCCGATTTGAATGGAATGAAAAGCCGGTGTCCTTTGTCAAAAAAAAAAACTATTGCATTAGGATAAACAAGGTTTAGCTCTACTAATCACCTTACAATATTTGTGTTCACTCATAAATATGTTATATGTATGTCAGTAGTAATCCAGACTAACCGTAAAATTTACGTAATCAGTATTTCATCATTCGTCTCTCGGTGTATGCATGCATTATCAAAATGCCACGTACATAATTTCGCTAATTACAACTTTAAGTGGTCAATTGTGTATAGGTAAATAGTTGTAGGACTGTCAATTAAGTAAAGGTCAAATTAGGAGGACCAAGAAAGAAAAATTACCTCATCCCGTTTACTCCTTAGTCCTTTCTCTCTCTCCCTCTCTGGTTGCTCTGCGCATTTTGCCCATTCCTTTCCCCCCATTCGCAACAACATATATGAACAGCGACGCCTTCTTTCGCAGCCATTCTTCTCCTCCGCCGGTTTCCGAAATAGAGAGAAAAGAAAGATGATGAGTTTATCCGCTTTCCCTCCTTCTTCTTCCTCCGCATTCCTCTCCAACAACCTACCGCCAGCCGCCGTCGCCCTCCCTTCTCCGGCGTCCTTTTCTTGCCTCAGCTCCCTCCTGCCGCCGCGCTTTGCCTTCTCCACTCCGTCATTCGTCCTGAAATCGGCTCCACCGCGGAGTCCCGTTTCCCGCCGCCAGTCGCTGCTCCTCTCTTCACTCAACGGCAGCGCGATGGCGGAGCTCGTTAGCAGCAGCAGCGGCAGCCGAGTAGTCGCCGCCGAGAAGCGCGGCCGTGGGGCGAGCAGTTCCAGTACCTTCCTCGATGCAAGAAACGAAGAAGGTTAGCTGTGCTCCCTCCTCTCGGTTTCTTTCCGTTTCGGTTTTCCTTTTTCTTTCTTCTGTTTGGCTGCTGAGAAAAACTCGAGTGACAAGTGAGTGAACTGGCAGCTCTCACCTACCGTTCCGGTAAAAGATTGAGCGGCCGTGAAATGCAAGCTATTACTGATTCAGTTCTCGTGTTTTCTTTTGCTCCGCTACGCCATAGAATTCACCGCTAAGCTTGCTTTCTGGTTGAGCACATAAGCACTGAGAAACGACTAAGAGAATCGTTTACATATTGCTGGAGCTCTTTCCATATCGAGCAACTTTCTTTGACGATCTTGGAACTGAATTGCGTGCATCTTACTCCTGTTCTCAAGTCTAGTAGAATCGATTGACGGAGGTGAATTACGGTATTAGTCTTTCTTTTTTTCTTGATTTTGTTACGTTATGCTTTGCGTTTCTGTGTTTGCTTGATGTCCACGATAAATAGGCCTGTACCAATCGTTTTCCATTTGTTCATTGTTACTGGTAAGGTTAGCTGTTATTCTTGTTCTCTATCCATCGCTACTTATGGAGGTATTGTTGAATTGCTACTGTTTGGCAACTTAGATTGGTGAAAGGACGTTGTTCTATATTTCAATTTGAGAACGAGATGATTGTTAAGGTTCTTCAAGTTCAGTGGTATTCAATGCGCTCGTTTCACAGATTTCTGCAATTTGGGAATGAAGTCTACAACTGTCTTATGAGGAGACTATTTCCTGCAGAGATGATTCGTCATCTTAGAGACAGAGCTTGAAGTGTTAGGTGTTAGCTTCTAATCTGTAGCTTTATTTACCATCCCTGGGATTGTGCTAGTAAGATTTCTGATCGCTGTTGTAATTGATTTGCCAGATAGGATTAAGTTACTTGTTTTCCGCTTTGATTGAGTCTCCTACACTGGACCATATTGAGCCAGCAACATGCAATCGATGGCCAGGATATTTTTGACCGTGTTGGCTTACTTTTTACTTTCTCGCTCTGTTCCTAATTAGGATTCTTATTTGTTTCCTTCTGTAAGTTAACGTCTTGTAGGAGAAGTATTATTCCTGAGAAGTAGTATTAGAATAATGAGGCTTCTTGTGCAGAATTTCAAAGATCCGTTTTGATAGAGAGTTAATTTGAGTACTTACACTTGTTTTGTTAGAGTGAATTTTCAAGAAATTTACTACGTAAATGGAAACCTCTCTAATATCCTCATATGAAGAGGAGACCAGCACAGGTCTGCAAAATTGTAGTTTCCCCTGTAGCTCTATAAAGTGGTTCTGCATCATCAGTGCCTCACTTTTGAACGTTTGCTAAGGGATCATCCCCTAATCTTTTCTGTGCTACTTCTGCAGATATCTTGTCTGGAATCAGGAAGGAAGCAGAAGCTGGAAGGCTGTCATCTACTGTCGCAGAAGGAATGGAAGAACTGTATCAGAATTACAAAACAGCAGTAAATATCCTTGAACTTTTGAATCACATGCATTCATGTACTGTCTAGGTTAAGTTGGTTTAGTCATGCACAATTCCACATTTTCTCTGTGTAGTCGTATGATGGGAGTACGTGCTTCTATTCTGGGAAATCAGCTTTCATGTAGATTGCATATTCATGTACATGTAAGGTGGATTTGCACTTATCTTACAGAGACTTGCACATTTCAGGTTCTTCAAAGTGGACATCCAAAAGCAAGTGAGATTGTATTGTCCAACATGTCTCTTGTATTGGATCGAGTTTTCGTTGATGTGGAGGTAAGTTGGCTACCGTATGCCAGCTAAAATGCTTGTACATCAAACATTATTTGCTCAGGGAAACCTTTTGCATTTGCATTTTTTTCAGGATCCTTTTGTCTTCCCCCCTCATCACAAAGCACTAAGGGAACCATTTGACTACTATGAATTTGGTCAAAATTACATCCGTCCTTTAATAGATTTCAGGTCAGTCTAGAACTTTTCATAGCCATTTTTCATCAATCATAGATAGAACCTAATGTGGAATGTGCATTTACTACAGAAACTCATATGTTGGGAACATAGGCATTTTTAAGGACATGGAACACAAGCTTAAGCAGGTAATTTTTCGAGTGACTTTTTCTTGTTCCAAGTGTTGCCCTTTCCAGTTAGCTACGGGTTACTGGTTACTCACACTTGAATAAACTACCCTGTCTTTTACCTGCTTGAAAACGTCTTGTCTATTTGTGCTTTGTCTTGAATCGTTAAGCTAAGGTTTCTTGCTTTTCCCAATTTTTAGAACTTCAACTTGTGAGTGGAATTTGATGTACTGGTGTAGTATTCAACAGAAACAATCAATTCTCAGGATTCTTTTTTTATTAAACATATCGACTATTCTTTGTCTGACTTGGTGAGCTACATACATTGTCATTCTCATCACAATCATGATTATTGTTTTATCTCATGTACTATTCATTAACCTGAAAGAATAATACTCCTAATTGACAAGTTAAAACTAAGAATAATAAGTGCTATAGTATATGCATGTATAGAAGGGGTGATAGATTAGAACAAGTATGAGGCAGTTTTTTTGTTTGAGGGTTTGATTTTTGTACTATTCATAACAGGGGCACAACATTATCTTGATATCAAATCACCAAACTGAAGCAGACCCAGCAGTCATTGCATTGCTCCTTGAAAGAACAAACCCTCACATTGCTGAGAACTTGGTGAGCCTGATATCTGTCTTTTTCTGAAAATTCGCCTTGTTGCTGTCAACAGGAGCATAATCAGCTTCTATCTGTACATCTTTGCAGATTTACGTGGCAGGGGATAGGGTTATAACAGATCCTCTTTGCAAACCCTTCAGCATGGGAAGGTAATAGGTCTTTCTATGTTTTGTCCATTATGCACGTCCATTATTGAGATCTCAAAATTCATTGCTGTATGCTATCAGGAATCTCATTTGTGTGTACTCAAAAAAGCACATGTTTGATGTCCCTGAACTTGCTGAGATGAAGCAAAAGGCAAATATAAGAAGTTTGAAGGAGATGGCACTGCTTCTGAGGTATCATGCTTCATTGGATTCTGGCTGAATCTTTGACACAACTTTTTTTTACTTTATTGGATACTAGTCTTTCAACTCTTATCCATGAAAAATAGTTAAATTGTCGTAGCTATAAGGTCTTCTTGTTGTTTATTCGGTTAACTGTCCTATACTATTGAGAACGGTCATTCAACTTGTCAGTCTTAATTCATTTCATCACTTGCTTCTTGATTATTTTGCTCTCATGTATGTGAAGCTTTTTGCCCTTTCGGTTGTCCTTCTGTTGTGTACGTGATTTTTCAAGTGAAATAAAGTATTGCTCTCTAAGGTTACTTATAATGCAGGAATGGGTCACAGATAATATGGATTGCACCAAGTGGTGGTAGAGATCGTCCTGATCCTGTCACTGGAGAATGGCATCCCGTAAGTTCTTCACCTGGCCTCTAAATATGGACATATTCCCACTTCTTACTACTGTGAAATGCAAATATTCAGACTTACTGATGTTTGGTGGGGCAGGCACCATTTGATAAATCTTCAGTCGACAATATGAGAAGGCTTGCTGAAAATACTGGTGCTCCAGCACACATCTATCCTCTGGCACTATTATGCCATGACATTATGCCGCCTCCTGCCAAGGTATGTACATGAATATATGACTTGTTCCCCCTTTTTCTGTTTTTCCTTTGTCATGTTGTTTACTTGAGAAATCTACAGGTGGAGAAAGAAATCGGGGAGAAGAGGGTGATTTCCTTTTCTGGAACAGGGCTATCCGTTGGGGCAGAAGCGAACTTCGATGAAATTGCTGGTGCTTATGAAAATCCTGAACAGGTAGGTCACCGCTGCTTAAATTTGACCTTGCACGTATGTGTTTATGTAAAGCCAGACATTTATTTCTGTAGAAAATAAACTAGAGAACTATTTTGAACTTAGTTCCTTAAAAGTGTATAGATGTCTAGGATTTTAGTTTGATTATCATCAGGTAATTATAGTTGCCACCAATTTTCCAGTTTGCTTTAGTTGAGATAAGAATGAACGGTTGAACTTGGCTTTCCTGTCACCTTCCTAAATCCATTGCTTTGTGAATTGAATCTGGGTTGTAGATGTGCTCCTTTTTTAGTCAAAATTAAAGTCCGTTCCTGGGCTGAACATGTCTAAGTCTAATGCCCTGTTCTTTCGTGATGATGATGATGATGGTGATACTCTGGCTGTTTTTAGGCCAAGGAGGCATACACAAAGGCCCTGTATGAGTCTGTCACAGATCAGTACAACGTGCTTAAATCTGCCATACACGGGAAGCAAAGAGCTGATACATCATCTCAAGCAGTCTCGATCTCACAGCCATGGTATTCATCCTTTTGCGTGCTTCCTTCTTACGTTAACTTTTGCTCCTCTGTCGATAAGGCTAACTAAGCAGTCTCGATCACCTGCTGGAAACTTACGCTACTCCCTGTTTATGCTTTCAGGACAAATATTTCTGTGACGTAATTCCGTGGAACCAAGGCTCGAGAATCCAAAACTCCTTACAAATTTTTGTGGTGCTGAAAATCTTTGTGTAAAGAAAGTGTCTCAAAGTCAAGCACCGGATTCTTCTCTGGCGATCCAATTTTTTCGGAGCGAGATCAGGAATTGGAATCCAGACGCTTCAGTTAGTGTACAGGAGATCAACAGTTAACAGTACTACCACCTATGATCCTATCTCTCCTCACCAGGAAAGCCTGCATGTAAATGTCTTCAAACCTTGCTACGTTCGATGTTAAAAGGAAACGATACCATGAGATTTTTTGTCAGCAACTTGTTCTGCTTCGCTTTTCCGGTCGTAATCGTCAGTCTGCTTAAGAAGGTGGTTGTGTTCAACTTAGACATTGAAAGAACGTATGGTCATGTTAACTGGGAATTTTGCCTCAAATCTTTTCTTGGGAACACATGAATGTCCCTTTGAAATGCATTGCTCCGGCCACCCCTTTCATACATTGATTTACAGAACAACAAATAAACCAACTACGCATCAATCCAACCAACCAGCCAAACCCTCTTGACAAAAGTCTGGCCACTCCCAAACTCAATGAAGAAAACCAGAAGACCACGACAGATAACAATTTCACTTACAGGAGAGGAAGTAGAGAGCACAGGCAGCTTCCAAGAACATGACTACAGTTCAGTACCACAGTGAGTAAAAGAGAGAACACTTCTCGCCGTAAAGGATTGAAGACTGATCATAACTGGCACCGGGCCAAAGCCTCTGAAAAGAGTTAACACTTCTCCTATTTAATCAGAAACTCGTGATCAATCTTTTTTTCCTGCATCCCATGCTTCTTGATCTCCAAAAGACCATCATGAGTTTACAATGACTGGCAGTCTTTAGAGGAATTCAGAAGGAGAACTGGAATCAGGCTTCCCATTGTCACCCAACCCTCCAGGGTGCTGCAAATTCTGCAAGACCTGAGAGGGCAATCCCCCCAAACCACCACCCAACCCATCCGCAGCTGACCCGTAAAACTGACAAACAAGCCGAGCCATCACTCCCAGAATCTGCATCTGGTTGTGGCATGCCTCGGCATGAACCTGCATAATCGTCTTCTCGTGTTCGATCTGCAGCCTCAAAACCCTCTCCCTCCACTCCATCTCTTCCTCTTCCCTCTTCTCCTCCATTGCCCTCATCTGTCTCCTCTTCTCTTCCAGATCTCTCTCCACCCTCAACCTCCTCTCAAATTCCTTCCTGCCCCAACCCAGCTCCCTCTCTTCCAGCTCCATTTCCCACTTCTCTAGCTTCTCTTCCTTCTCCTCCTGCCAATCCCCCCTCCTGAACTCAAATTTCCTCCTCCTTTCTTCACATTCGAATGCACCGTTTTCGTGATCAAACTCCCTTTCCCTCCTCTTCTCCTCTCTCCTCACCACAACATCTCTCAAATCTACCACTTGTGCTCCTAGCAATCCCAATCTCTTGCTAACCCCCTTCAACTTCCCTTTCCTGTCGCCGCCATGGCCGCAATTAGTAACCTTCTCTCCTCTCACAAATTCAACATCTTGATCCTCCCCAACTCCACCAGCACCATTACAATCATCCCCAGGATTCCCTTGTTTCAAATTCTGGTCGTCATCATCATCATCACAACTATCCCCTTCTTTCAATTCCCCATCTTCCTCCTCCTCCTCCTCTTCTTCGTCATCCTCCAAATCCTCACTATCAATCCCTAACCCTAAATCCCCACAATCCCTAAACAAATCACTGCTACAGCTGTCGCTCAAGAACTTCTTACCTTTAACTTCCAGCTCCACGTCCCCGAAGACTTCCTTGTACTTGAGGAAGTTCTCCCAGTGATTCTCGCCGTCCTTCCAGTTGAACTCGTCGCTGGAGATTCGAATCTTCTGCTTCACGCCCAGGTACTGGTGCCGCATGTTCTGGACTTTGATGGAGACGTCCCGCCAGGACCACTTAAAGGGGAAGGCGGCGGGGTCGTGGAGATGGTGGACGGCGTTGACGTGGTCGGCGATTGGTCGAAACTTCTTCTCGCGGGTTTTGAGCTTGGAGAGACTGCCCGAAGCGAGGAGATCGTTGTACTTGGTCAGCAGCGTCTGCTCTTCCAGTTCCGACCATTTCTTCCTCTTCATTTCACGGGAAGGGCTAGATGAGTTGTGGGTAGATCTTTGGCAGACTGGAGCCGCTAATCAACAATCCGCCGGCAAGGACTCTGCGGGAAGACTGATTAAGCTAACTGGGAACTGTTCAGGCAGACTCGGATTTATGCAGAAGGGAAAGGGAAGTATGGTAAATGTTAGTTGGGGAGTGCGCGGTCGTTACTTTGGAACACATGAGAAGCGGCGGTGTTGGAGATGGAGGCATCCGAATCAGACGGACATAGCGGATGGAACAGTAAAAGTCTAAAAGATAAAATGGATGGAAAATGGAAATAGTGGAAAAATCCCCACTGGACACATTCCCACCGTACACATGTTTTTAAAAGAAATTCTCAAAATACACACGTTATGAAAATATTTTTCAATCTACGCATGTTTGGGCCTTTACCACGTCTGAGCAAGGCGGTGATTGCATCACTGCATGAGAGAAGCATGGTGATTACATCATCGCTGTAGAGGAAGGCGGTGATTGCATCACCGGTGCATCACCACTCTAGAGAAAGGCGGTGAAGGCCTGACCCGCGTCAAATCTTTAAAAAAACATAACTTTGTGCTCGGTTATCCGATTGTGGCGAATTTTTTTTTTGATTCCGCATAATTTTTTGAGATCGGATAACCGAGCACAAAGTTACGTTCGTTTAAAGTTTCGACACAGGTTAGGCTTTCACCGCGGCCGTTTAATGCGGTGAAGCATTAACCGTCTTTCTCTACAGCAGTGATGCAATCACCGTCCTCCTCTAATGCGGTGATGCAATCACCGCTTTTCTTTAATGTGGTGATGCAATCACCGCCTTGCTCTGACACGGTGAATACCCAAACATGCGTAGATTGAGAATTTTTTTCATAACGTGTGTATTTTGAGAATTTTTTTTAAAAACATGTGTACAGTGGGATTTTTTCCTGGAAATAGGAGGTGTTGGAAGTGAATAGGTTTTGAAGCTATATGTCTCCAGTAATGGACTTCGTTAATGGAGTGAGGAAAAACTCCTAGAGCGACTTCAGGGGTGGAAGCAAAGGACATTGTCGTGGGCGGCTAAGGAAACATTGATTAAAGCCATAACGTTGGCTCTTCCCCTTCATGTTATGTCCTGTTTTCGTCTTCCCCTGGCTCTTTGTCGTCTTTTAGATAAGCATGTGGCCAGTTTTTGGTGGGGTGCTGAGGACGGTAATCCCAAGATTAGATGGGTGTCCTGGCGTAACATGTGCAGGAGTAAGCATGATGGGGGGATGTGATTTCGCCGGTTCGAGCATTTCAACCAAGCTCTTTTGGCTGAGATAGGCTGGCGTATTCTCAATGAACCTCAATCACTTATTGCCCAGGTCTATAAAGGCAAGTATTTCCCTCAAGGGTCTTTCCGGACCGCGACTGCTAGGTCTCGTCCCTCTTGGGGGTGGCAAAGTATCCTTCATGGGCGTCAGTTATTGGAGAGGGGTTTGAGATGGCAGGTTGGTAATGGCCAATCGGTCTCCCTCCTTCATTCTAACTGGATTCCTAGGTACCAACTAGATCCCCCATGCTATAATCCGCGGATCTTGCCTGAGGGGGGTGATCCCTTGGTGGCGGAGGTTATTTGTGAGGGGGGAGGGAGGTGGTCTGATGAGAAACTCAGTCAATGGTTTGACCTGCCCACCTGTAAGGCTATTAAAGCTATTCCTCTCCCGCGTTGGGATGTGCCTGATAAGCTTATCTGGCATTTTACGGCCGACGGGGTCTTCTCGGTTAAGCCGGCTTATCATTTGGCTGTCGATTTGGACAGGAGGAGGGGTGGGTGGCGATCCTCGGTTAGCTGGATGGATAAGCTGAGTTGGATTAGAGTTTGGGAGGCGAAGATCCCTCCGAAGTTGAAGGTTTTTGTTTGGCAAATTCTTAATCGGGCTCTGCTGACTACAGAGGCGCTTATTGAGAAAAAGGTCCAGGTGCTACCTCGGTGTCCAGTTTGTTGGGATGGCTCGGAGACAATGGAACACCTGTTCCTTTATTGTCCGGTTGCGCGGGCTCTCTGGGATTATTCTGGGCTGGAATACTTGGGGGAGGGTTTGCCTCGGCATACTTTTCCTTTGTTTCTCAAACGTCTGTTGGCGTTGATCCATCAACGGTCAGTGGTTATGGCGGTTGTTGCCATCCTTTGGAGGATCTGGCGATCTCGGAATTGGGTAGTCTTTGAAGGCAAACAATTTGGGATCCCGACGCTAATGCGACAGTTTAACCAACAGTATGAGGAATGGGTGGGTCTACCAGCGGACCAGGCGCCTAGGGTACAAATCCCGACAATGCAATCTACAGCACAAGTGGGTGATTCCCATTTTGTTTGCATGTGGGACGGGGCTACTAAGGGTGGGTTACATTCGGCTGGTGGGATTGTTCTTTTTGACCAAGCGCGGACTCTCCTTCTGGCTAGAGGGGTCAAGTTTTCTCAAATGGATGATCCTGTAGTGGTGGAATTGCTTGTGCTCAGGGAAGCTATTATTTGGTGTGTGGAGCAAGGTTTGTCGGAGGTCCGATTTGAGGGCGATGCGAAGGTGATTATTGACAAAATTAATCAAGCCGACACAAGAGATAGCCGGTTGGGTGCTGTTCTAGAAGAGATTGGTCATTATTTTCGTACTCAGCCTGGCTTTAGTGTGCGTTTTGTAGGTCGGGAGAACAATAGGGTAGCTCATTTGGTAGCTAGGAAAGCCCTCTCTTTGTATCCGACTATGAGTCGCTTCTTTGATTTCCAGACCTGGCTGGTTTCCAGGGTGTAACTGTCTATTTTTTCGATCGATACATGATATCTTTTGACAAAAAAAAAAAAAAATAATGGAGTTCAGTGGAAACTAACGGGAGAGTGACTAAATGTGACATGCTTCAGTAATTCGAGTGACCAAAATTGATATTAATTTTTTCTAATGACTAAATATGACATGATTTAATATTCTCAGTGACAAAATGTGACATTTACCCAAAAATTATCACATTGGTGAGAGGACCGTTAATATTTGTAAAAATTAAAAAGTGTATTTAGATAAGGTTTTGTTTCATAAGAGCATGTATTTGGGGTGATTTTTTTTAGAGAGAGGACTTAATGGACTTCTATATCATATTTGTGCATCGTCGTTCGATCGATTTATTGGATGAATTGGGTTGATCGGATTAAGATTAAATTTTTTGAAGAAATTCTAAATTAATTATCAAGTATTCTCACCAAATACACCTGTACATTCATAACTATTGATTTTATGACAATAATAGCCAATTTTGTAGAAATACACAAAATGTTCAATTTCATCTAAAACTCTAACGGAGTCATTTTAGATGCTGACTGGACTAACGTTTTTGCTGACTTGGCGACACTTGATAAAAAAAAATTGCAAGGTGGAACTAACTAAATTCACTTGCATAATCATAACTAATGACTTTGTGACAATAATAGCCAATTTCTGATAAATACACAAAATGTTCATATTTTGAAACATGTTTAACAAATTTAGCCACTTTCGTTAAAAACTTTAACATTATTAGAGATTATGTTAGTTACATTAACAAGGTGCTGACGAGGATCTCGCAAAAGTTAAAATGGTTTGACTTGTCTGGTTTAAATTTATCTCTAATGGTCAACCTAAGACTTCATGGCACAAATGTCACTAAACTCATATAATTCAGGATATGAATGAAACGTTGACTAAAATAGGACACAAATAATTTCTTTTTTTTTTGGATAGTTCGTGTATTGTAGTGATATTAGCCTGAAAAAATAAATGACAAGCATTTACATAAGAAAGAAGATTTGAGAATCTGGGGATATAAAACTATAAAAGGATTCTTGAAGTTCTTTGAGGGAAAGAACCCTAAAGTTTGAGGACCAAATATATCTATAAACTCGTAAAGGGACAATTGTGATCGGTTGGTTAAGTTATGTCAAAATGATGAAATGGTGTGTTGAGACTTGAGAGAGCATGCTAATGACACCTTTCATGTGGAGCTCATGATCAACTCCAATAAGGAAGGTTTTGGCTGCAACCATTTCAAAAACTTCAAGAGAATTCTATAGGTAGTCTTGCTCTTAAAGTGTGTGTATGATTCATCTTAGTGATGGAAGAGTTGTGACATTTTGTTATGGCATATAGTTGTGATAGATGTTTGGACGATTGTCAGTTATGAGGTGTTTTGCAGTGAGATGTTGGAGTAAATTAAATTAAAAATGGGGATGACTCACTCAAGAGACAACTGGACAATGCAAAAGGAGGGATTTGACATGATTTTAGAATGGCTTGTTTCTTTTATCAGGGAAAGAACACTAGAAGTCTATCAAGTCATCTATCTATCTATCTTCTATACTAAATATTATGGCTATTCAAAAATAACTTCTTGCCACATAAGCACTTGATGAATGCACAAATTGTCAAGGTGGACAATTTTTTTACAAACAAAAAACTATTTATTGATCTATTTATGAAGCTATCTCTCTTCTTTTAATAATTCTACTCATTTTTACTAAAATTAAAATAAGTTAATTTTTTATGAAACATTAAAACAAACAAACACATACATAAGTAATCATCTTTTTTCAATTAAACAAACTATAAAGATGGAAACAGAGAGTGATATATCGTATTTGTTTAACCCAAGCTGATTAAATCTGATTAAGTAAATTTTCTACTCATTTTTGCTAAAATTTAATAATAAGTTACATTTTGATGAAGCAAAAAAAAAAAAAAAGAACACACACACATAAATAATAATATTTTCAATTAAACAAAATATTAACGATGGTCTAAGAGAAAATAAGCGTTTGATAATTAATCGACTTTGAGAAATGATAGATATGACTATATTTTTTTTGCTATCAAACACTCACTTCTATCTAATGTATATACCTATCAAATAAAACAAGTATAAATTTTATAGCAAAATGTTTGAATATAAACTTGACAGAGCAATAATTGTTATTTTTTTAAAAAACTTCTTATTTATTCTGATTAAATAAAAACATATTAATTATTAATACAAACTTTTAATTTGTTTATGTCCCTTTTCCCATTTTGATTGTCTCGCTAGAAATAAAATCCAACTTTGAAAATAAGAAATCAAGAAAGTATGTCAACCACCATAAAAATAAACAAAACCCTCTTATTAGTTGCTATTTTTTTTGAGATTTCTAACATTTGTATTCTCATAATTATAGAGAAGGAAATGGTAATGCATATGATTTTTTTT